TCGCTGAATGGAATCTCTACGTGGAGCTTCTCAATTACTTTTACAAACTTTTTATATTGGTTATCTAATTTGGTTTGTTTTAGTCTTTGTGGGTATGAAATTTGAGGTTTATAAGGAGGGGGTGGTACATAAACTTTATCGTCTTTCTCTCCTTCCTTATCTCTAATTCCTTCGTCCTTTGGTTGCTCAGATTCTATTGGTTTCTCTACTTCTTTCTCAGGTATGGTCACTGCATTTTTCTTAGGGTATTCTGGCTTATTCAACATAGGTTCTATAGGCCCATCGTAAGTATTTCCACTCCGTAGGGAAATAGCGTTAGCATGCCCTTTGGGGTTAGGTTGAGGTTGTCCAGGAAATTGTCCTCATGGTGAAACTTGAGTAGATTATTGTTGTGCCACTTGAGAAATCTGGGTTTCAAGCATTTTGTTGTGAGTAATTACAGAATCGAGTTTGGTGCCCAATTGTGTAATTAGTCCATTTATATGAATGTTTTGGTTCATGAAATCCTTGTTTTGCTGAAGTTGAGCTACGATAAAACCTTCCACCATTTTCTCAAAATTCGGCTTTTGAGGAGCAAATTGCATGGGTGGGTTTGGCTTTTGAGCTTGGAAAGCGGATGGTCTTTGGGGTGTAGAATTCTGAGTAGGGTTATTATTCTTATAGGAAAAGTTTGGGTGATTCCTCCATCCATGGTTATACGTGTTAGAATAGGGATTGCCTTGGGCGTAATTGACTTGGTCTATGGTTGTTTCAGCTAAAAGATTACATTCATCTAGAGTATGTCCTTGAGTTCCACAGATCTCACATCCGGGCTGAACTGCAACTATGGTAGTTGTAGGGCTGATAGTCAGGCTTTCTTCTTTTTAGGCTATGGCGTCCATTTTGGCATTCATATGGTCGAGGCAACTGACTTCATAAACACCTCCTTTGGTTTATTTCTTCTCTACTAGGGCTCATTCCATTCTCCATTAGTAATGGTTTTGTGTCATATCTTCAATGAGAGCACATGCCTCAGGGTAGGGTTTGTTCATCAAGGCGCCACCAAAAGCAACATCGATGGTCATCTTGGTGTTTTACATGAGTCCATTATAAAAGGTGTGAATTATGAGCCATTGTTCTAACCCATGGTGTGGACAAGCTCTTAGTAGTTCCTCGTATCTTTTCCAAGCGTCAAAAAGTGATTCTCCCTCGCTTTGAGTGAATCGGGTTATTTGGTTTTGTAAGACAGCGGTTTTACTCGACGATGTTACACCCTAATTTTGACCCTGAATTTCCAACCCTGCATATCATAGCATTTTCATCATCTGTGCATCTAACCATTCTACCTCCAAATTTTTTTTCTGCCGCCTAAACTCAGGTCTTGCAAGATTGATCCAAGGATAAGGCGAAATTATCAAGTCAAGTGCATATGCAGTCTTGGGTGAAATTCAATGTAACTTTGACCTATTCGTGGTTAGGCAATTGATTTATTCTGTATCAAGTCATCAAGCTGTGACAAAGGCGGTTTGTTGAAAGGTGGATGATTATCAGGGCAAGTGCAGATTGAATTCATGAGCTTTATGTTTAAGTTAGCATCCCATACCATTTCAAGTACCTGATAAAAATCATGTTACAGAGCCACCAAAAGTGAAGCCATTTGGCTAATACTTCAACCATTTGTTGTTCATGTTTTGGTCAGGGGAAATTTCAAGCTTCTTTCTCAATTTGAAATCATTCAAGATCCTACCTAATGTTGAAGTTCCGAAACTTTTGCAAATTCTACTCAATTTTCTTTCCGCTTTCCAATTCTATCCAGTTCAATTCTATTTCATCTCCACTTCAAATTCCATATTTAATTCATAGTCGAAACCATCCAAGTTTTCATTCCATTTTAATTTATTTCAATTATAATTCATGAATCTCAAATTCAATTAGTTCAAGTCTCTAACTCAAGTTTCAAGTCAAGTTCATTTGTTTTTCTTAATTTAATATAGGTTTCAAGTCTTAAAGTTCAATACTTTTTTTTCTAATCAAATTAAAGTTCAATCTTCAAGTTTTAAGTCTCATTCCTAACCTACTCCAAATCCCATTCAAATTTCAAATTCAATTTAATTATTTTTTATGAAATTTCAAGTCTCGTTCAGGTTTAAAGTTACCACTTCTTTCCAAATTCCAAATTCATATTTCATGTTCAAATAATACACAAGTCCATGTCTTTTTTGTTGCTACAACTTGAAAGTTTACAAGTGCATCAAAAAGGCCCATTTATCATTAACTTACAAAAAATATACAACAAGGATAAGGTGTTAAACCCATTTACAATCTCTCCAAAAAGGCATGCCACCAGGATCCTCCACGTGAGATCCCCATCGACAACTACATGCCTTCACTGCCCCACACTATAGCCTACACAATTAGGTTTTTTTAACTGTTCTACCCTGTTTTGAAATGAAAAATCCCATAATATCCCAGTTTGAAATTTATTTATCGGACTACCCCACTTTCAATAGAAGCTCGTCTACCGAGTGGGCGAGGAGGTGCAACGTGAAATGGCCATGTGTAAGTTCGTCCACTGGTTGGGCGAGCCAGTGCATTTCAAAATGGGCCTGTGGAAGCTCGTCCACCCAGTGGACGAGCGTGTGAAGTAGTCTTTTTTTTATAATTTTTTTTCTGTTTTATTTATTTAATGATTTACAAAATATATTTTAAATACTATAATTAATAATTAATACAATTAATAATTAATATTATAATAATATATTTTAATAATATATTTTAATAATTTAGTAAATATATTTTAAATAAATACTATATTTTTAATAATTAATAATAAATTTTAAAAACTAAAAATATTATACTATATTAATAATAAGTTTTAAAAATTAAAAATATTTTAAGAACATTAAAAATATTAACTAATTAAAATATTTTTCATTAAACTAAAAAATTATTATATATTAAATTAATTTAATTATATTTTATTTCATATGAAATAAAAAAATAATGACTGATATTCGCACATGGAGGTTTGAATTTTTTACAGACTCTCGGTCATTGAATGACTGAGCTCAAACGTAATTTTTTTTATAAATAGACGTATTGCGCATCAGCAAATATCATTCGTGTCCAGTGATCTGTTTTATAAAAATGTCGGTGCAAGCTGTTGTTTTTTATGGTCCAGAAAAAAAATCAGTGTTTACCTAGACCCGCTGTGGAATTTCAGAACCGTGGTTGCAGCAATTAACACGGGGTTTCGGCAGTTGGGTGGTCGTTGCATGATGGTGAGAAAAATGGAGTATCATTGTCCGTATATAACGCTGATTGATGCTAGCCCGGAGGGTACGTACATGTATTACTTGGATTGTATTGAAAATGATGAAGATGTCCATTGCATGTTTTCAGCACATAGTGGCGAAGTCAACAGAGGAGTCACTGATCCACTTGTGTTGGTCGCTGTTGTTTGTTAGAGTTTATGTTAGCTTCCTGAGTTTTATTCCTAAATTTATGTTTGTAATTCGCTGGTATTGTTGTAATTTGAAAGTTGTTTTGAATTAAAAATAATTGTTGGATCACATACAAAACTAGTACAATAAAATTATCTTTTCGGTCGGTTTGACAGACCGGCAACATTAGGACATTTTCTACGCATATGACCTATTTCTCTACAAATCCCACACCTTCTCTTCTCTTTTTCAGCGTCGTCCATCTCAGTTCTAATCCTACTATTGGTTGGACGTCCCTTTTTATTTCTTCTCATGGAACCGTCATGGCACAGAGTAAAACCTTCATATTTTGGCCAGTTCTCCTCGTGTGGTAGTCCCAAGAAGCTTTTCTTGTAGACTTTGAATATGTTAAGAACTATGAAGACCTCTGGAATGTGAATTGTGTAGTCCTGTCGTATGCTAGAACATGCTGCTATCACGTGGGAGCAAGGCAAGTGAAATGCTTGCAATTTTCCACAGTCACACAAACGATTCCTCAAGTCAATGCTGAAAGTACCCGTTGGACGACCATCGTTGTAATTAATCTTTTCCTGCACCATGAAACATAATCTTTCGCGATCAAATTGCATGACGTTGTGTGTGTTAGCCTTGGCTACCTCATCAGCCATTCCCTTGTTACAACCATCTGTGAAAACTTTCCTTGAAGATAGAATTTTGGTCCATTTGTGTCCTCGTTTACCAAAGAGTGAACTCATTCAATAGTATGTAGACTGGACCAATGCAGTGATGGGAAGGTTTCTTGTTGCCTTTAGTATAGAGTTTATTGCCTCTGCCAAGTTAGATGTCATATGTCCCCAATGTTTCCCTCTGTCAAATGGTCTAGCCCACTTCTCTCTAAGAATGTTGTCTATCCAATTTGAAGCCTCAATGTTTGTTCTTCTGATTTCTCCGCGATAGTAATTAAATGTAGCCTCCGTCAATGCGTAACCTGTAACAGAAATTGTGTGAAAAAAATGATAAAAGTGTGCTACAAAACTTGAGATAAGTGAAATTTATTTTGTTTCCCATGTTAACAAGTTTTTTGCATAGATCCTTGTCCTTAATCTCGCGCATGAAGTTCTGAGCAATGTGTCTTATGCAGTAGACATGTGAAGATGGTGGATGTTGCCATATGTTTTCGGGATTGTTGTATGCACTCTTTATTGATTCATGTCTATCAGATATTAGACATAAATTAGGTTGTGGTGTCACGTGTAATCTCAGGTTCCTCAGAAAAAAGCTTCATGCTTCCTTTGTTTCACCTTCAACCAACGTGAATGCTATTGGGAAAATATTTGTGTTGACATCCTGTGCCACCGCCATCAATAGAGTTCCTATGTACTTTCCATACAACCAAGTTCCGTCTACTTGCACAATGGGCTTACAGTAGGCGAAGCCACGTATACACGGACGAAATGCCCAAAACAGACGATGGAATATTCGTTTTCCAGAGATTTGGGAACCATCACTTGATATCGCAGGTAGGGTTTGCAAATTTATAATGGTTCCTGGAAGGAAGGTTTTCATTACCAGTATCCACTACGGGAGGTCGTTGTAAGATGTTTCCCAATTTCCATAAAGAGACTCTACCGCCTTGCACTTAGCGATCCATGCTTTCCTGTAAGATATAATGTACCCGTATTTTTCAAGAATATGGGCAATGATCACCTTTACCTTAAGTGAGGCGTCGCTGTTGACAAGTTCTCTGATGCTATGGCTAACCATTTCTGAACTGAGCTTCCTATGGTCTTGTGCCATAGACATCGTAGTACATGTGTGAGACCCAGACAGTTTACCAATCACCCATGTTGAGTTCCTTTTTCTCAAGGAAGTTCTGCACTTGAAACTGCAGTCTTCTCTTACACTTAATGACATATCATTCATTGTCAGACTGATACACCCAATAGTCCATACTATGTGTTATGTGACAATGTTGTAGAGCGGGGATGCAAGCTTCCTTGTTTTCGAACTCCATACTAATCTCTATTTCTTCACCTATATGGTTTGGAATAGCACTTCCAAACACGAAGGTTGTGTCGTCTTGTTCGAAACCTATATTTTGCATGTGCGCAGGCGGGTTGTACAAACTTATGGGTTGTGCACGGATCAGCTGCATAGATGCAACAACTATATCTTCATTGTCTTTGTCATCGCTGTCACGAAAAATATCTTGCATCCTGACCTCCTGAATATCATCATCGCTTGCTTCTCCAACCTCCTCATTTGGTATGAAAGGTAAATTGTTTTGTGTTGGTTCGTCGTCGGATGTTTGACTCATCCCGTACCAATGTGACTGTGTCTCTTGCGTTGGAAATGTTTCGGGATTGTCTAGTAGTCGGACATACAACTCAATTGTAGGTAACTGACCAAACATCATGTGGCACCAAAACATTTCCTCCACATCTTCGTCGTTCCTGATCGGCGTCATTATGTAAAAAATTATACAATCGTCTTCATTAAGTGTTGGATGGCGATAAATTATTTCCTCAACGCTTCGTGCCAATTTTTTTTCCATTCTATCTTTAAAATGGAAAAAATCAGAACTGACATGAATTTTGAAGGCGTAGGTATCTGTGTTGTTGAACGAGAATCCAACAGGGCTATTTGTTGAAACAACACCGTTAAAGTGGCATGTGAGAATTATGTTTCTCTAGGACATTTTGGAGTGTAAAATAGAAGTTCTTGGTAGTGAATATTGATGTGTAAAATAGAATTTTTTGGTAGTCAATATTGAATTGTAGATTATTGATGTGTAGAAATAATATGATACATATATTCGGATACCAATAATTATATAAGACAAATATGAGAAGAATTGTGGAATATTGGGACTTGGAGCTCGCCCACTCAAAGGGCGAGCTTGTTCACGGCTAGTGTGTATGCTCGTCCATTCCAAGGATGAGTTTGTGATGTGCTTTGTGTGCTCGTCCATTCCAAGGACGAGTGTGTGATGTTCATGCAGAATTTGTATTGCATGCACACGACATGCTGTAAGAAGCCTAATCAAGCTAGGTTTGCATGCATGCAAGCAAATGTGTTATCAATGCCATGCAAATGTCTTCTCACACATTTAAATTCAAATTTATTACATCTAAATTTGTATTTCATGTACACTACTATAAATTCAGATTTATACATCTAAATTTCAACACACATTTTTTACTTCCTCTACTCTCTTGCATTTCTACACACATTATTTACTTCCTCTACTCTCTTGCAATCGTAATACTCACTTAACATGGCATTGTTGTGGATGGGCGATGAACACCGTGGAACACAACAAAATATCCAAGCTAGTGTAAGTTTTTCCTCTATTAGAGCGCATTCAAAAATAATGTCTATAGTTGTTTGGTTAAATATTATTTCGTAGCAAAAATCGTGATTACATTTTGTTGGTTTAATATTGTTGCAGACTAATGCCCCAAGGTTTAGAGTGCATTCACATGCTCCTATTCAAGCGAGTGCGAGAATAATGGATTATCTTGAAATAGCAGGTTTTGCACATATATCAAAAATAAATAGTCTAAAAATCGACTCAAGCTTAGTTGTGGCTCTGTTGGAGAAATGGAGACCCGAAACACACACTTTTCACTTCCCAACAGGTGAATGCACAATAACGCTTGAAGATGTGTATATGTTACTTGGTCTACGAGTTGATGGAAAAGCTAACAACAGTCCTACCGAAGTAACAAACGATGTTTACATGGAAAACTTGGGGTTTGAACCTACAGAAGCGGATAAAAATAAAGGTTTTGTTAGGATCACCTAGCTAGAGAGTTTATATGAAACTTTAAAAAATAAACCTGCCCCACACAAGAAGAAGTTCTGTTAGAAGCTAAAATTTATATTTTACTTGTAATCGCCATTATTTTGTTTCCTGACAAAAGTCAAAACCTATTGCATTCTTCTTGGATCCCTTTCGTAGGGGATCTTGCTATATGTGGCACTTATAGTTGAGGTTCTGCATGCCTTGCAAAACTATACAGAGAAATGTGCAAGGCAGCAGTCAAAGATGTTAGGAGCATGAGTGGTTGTGCTCTCCTGCTAACTTCTTGGGCATTCACACGTATACCATTGTTCACTCCTGTCAGTACAGTGGAACCCTCATATCCATATGCACAAAGGTATTTCTGTATTAAAACACTCATTTATGTGTACATAATATATATATATATATATATATATATATATATATATATATATATATATATATATATATATATATATATATATATATATATATATATATATATATATATATATATATATATATATATATATATATATATATATATATATATATATTGGTTATGCAAGATGGGCGCAAAGAAGAATGAATTACAATGCAAATCCTCGTTTTTATCTCCAAGGATATCGAAATGCATTGGACCATCTGCAAGAACAAGATGTAAGTTTGAAACCATGTGAAAATAGTTGTCGGTTCTACTCCTTAATTGTATCTTAATTTTCTTTTTTTATGTGGCAGTTTATATGGAGGTCGTACATTAAATATCTGGTGCCCAGTCTTAGAGATAGCCAAATCTGGAGTGCAACAACGTTCCTTATTTGTTTCTATACCGTTGAGATGCATCAAACGGATAGGGTAAAACTCCAGTTTGGATTAGACCAACAAATCTCTCCCCCGCCAAGGTGTCTAAGGGAACACCACGCAATGACCATGAGAAAAGCCCAAAAAGTTCATTGGCAAGAGTTAAACAAGGAGGAGGTGAGAGAATGGAGACACAGAAGAAATGTGATTTTGCAGGGGGACGCTGTATTAGGTGAACGCAAGCCAAGCCAAAAGTATTTAACTTGGTTTCGTGCCATTCCTTATGTCCATGTTGCTCCAGACCAATTTTTGACCGACCCACGCATGCAAGCATCATCATCAACATAACCAACTTCCGCATTAATGCATCTGGATGTGCCACCAACCTACACATCTCAATTTGGGGGGCACGCATCTTCGTCAGCTCAACATACATACCGATAACAAACACCCTACAATCCACTCCCTCAACAAAACTATAACTACCACTACAACTAACAATATCAACCCCAACCCTACCTCCGACCACCCATACAGTTCACCCCAGTCCCACCGCCCAACTTTGACCAGACCAACCCTTATTTCCAATATCAAACCCACCTCGACCTTCAACACTACCTTCTCTCAACCCACCTCGACCTTCATGCCTAATGACGTCTACTACCCAACCCTTCAACAAACCCAACCCAAAACCTACCCGCAACCACCGCAACCATCACAATCATTCCAACATTTTTTGTTGACAGAGGAGCAACTGATGCAAATGCCGGATTTTAACATTGATGATATTCTCGATGAGAAACTAGGACCCTCTTCAAGGCAGACAAACCCCCTACAGCACATCACAATGAAGACATGTCTTTCGACTCATCTCCATCACCTACAAATGAGCGTTTGGGCAGGGGATATAGACAGCGAAGGACCACTAGGTGTGGAACTAGGGGTCATCTTCGATGAAATGTATTTTTGTTTAATCAATTTTATTGTTGTAATTTAATCTTGTAATGTTAAAATTATTAACATTTCTTATAATCTAATTTTATAATGTAGTTATTATTAATTATTATTAATTAATATTTTATAATTAAAATTATTAAAAAGTCAAAACCTATTAATTATTATTAATTAGCATTTCATAATTAAAATTATTAAAAATTATTAACATTATTTTATTATTATTTATTATAATAAAAATTATTAACATTGACATTTTAATAATTAAAATTCTTACATTTAACATTTATGAATAAATATTTAAAATCAGAAGAAAAAAAAAGACTACACACGCTCGTCCATTGGGTGGACGAGCTTCCACAGGCCCATTTTGAAATGCACTAGCTCGCCCAACCAGTGGACGAACTTACACATGGCCATTTCACGCTGCACCTCCTCGCCTACTCAGTGGACGAGCTTCTATTGAAAGTGGGGTAGTCCGGTAAATAAATTTCAATCTGGGGTATTATGGAATTTTTCATTTCAAAACAGGGTAGAACAGTAAAAAGAACCACAATTACAACACAATATTTCCTCAATGCTCCTATGTGGATCCTCCCCAAGGTACAACATAATAAATAAATAAAATACAACATTTGTAAAACTCCATAAAGCCAACAATCCCCACACTAGACAAACTCTTCTCCAAAACTGCTCACTGCCCATTGCCCGTACCGCTAACCTGCAGCTACAGAAACCATGACCCCACCAACAAACATCACAAAACAACTTTTCATAATGAACCTTATCACCCCACGGTACAAACTTGTGCCTCAAACTTGTAAACAAACTGCAATACTGCACTACCTCAAGTTGTTGCAACTTACTACTACAAGACCTACAAACGTACAAACCAGTAGCAGCAAAGGTACATCAACACCATAATTATAGCAAGCCAACATAAAGAAAAACAACACAACAAAACAAGGCTATACCCTACCATACGACCCCACAATGAGCCAAAAGACCACTACCTGCAACCAACGTACAAACGTCACCAATAGCTACAGACAAACCGTACCGTGCATGCTACAAACCACGCCTCAAAACCATGATGAACCTGCACAAACTGACAAGGACAGCAACATAATTTGCGTATTAAAAAAATAACAAAGTGAAAAAGGGGGAGGCTCACCATTAAGAACCCAATCACTCACCTTTCTTCTGCGACTTTTAAACCCTTCAGAAAACCATAGAACCTTCATCTTCAATGACCAATATCCTCACACTCTAACAAAAAAAAAAACACCATAAGTTGTTCAGCCTCATTTCAAACTTCATGAACTTTCTCCTATGTCACCATTTTTCTAACCATTCACCATGGAAACTTTTCTTCTTCCCTAATAAACTCATGTTGCTCGACTCTTCATCCTTACCATCATGTTGCCATCATCTTATGCTCCTTAACAAAACTCCATCACCTTCACCCATATGTTCATAACAAAACATCCACCATAAACAACCCCCAAAGCGACCCTTAACACAAATTTTCCGTCCACCATTTTCAACTTCATTAACCTCACAAGCTATGCTTTCGCCACCCTTAACAACACCTTGACTTCACCCATATAGAAACTTCTTTCATCAACCCAACGACAATGGCTTGTTCATCGGCAGCAACAATACAGTTATGTTTCAACAACTTAACAACTCAACAATTCCAAGCAACTCAGAGACTTTATTTATTCGACTCAACGGTTATTTTAGCATGTTGACAACATCTTCACAACCAGGGCACGCTCGAGAAATAAAGCAACAAATCCAACTCTATTTCAGTTATCTTTTGACTAGAATCCTGCATTGCAATAATAACGGTTATACGCCAATATTATTGTAGTGCTTCACTCAACTCAAGAGTTTCACCTACATTTTGCTGTTACAGTTTTGGATAATAAGCAAGCATTGATTCGAGAACTCATCCTCTGAGATCCACCTTCGCAGATCCATAAACAACAACTACCATATTAAATCGT